CCCCAAAACCCCAAAACCCCAAAACCCCAAAACCCCTGATTTATTATTTTAACTTGAACTTAATGATAAATATTATTTCAAAGTCTAATAATATGTCGAAATCTATAAAAAGGAAGGTCAAGAACAAAGGGTCCTCCATAAAGAAATGGAAGGGTGTCAGAAATGAAGGAGATACGTTCTGGTATCCCAATTCAGTTATTAGCAGCCAGAACTCGCCGAAATCTAAGAACAGACTTAATACAACGGCGCCAATAAACTTCAACCAGCTTGGAATGAATCAATACTTGAGTGGCAAAGGATTTAAGGACAGTAGTGTAAAACTTCAGGCTCCTTTGGAAAAGACCATGAGCTTTGGAAATAATAAAAATGGATTGTTCTCGACTCGATATGACACATATGGTCATGGAGGGAAAATAAATTCAAATTCAATAGTCGCAACCAAAACGAAGAAGGGCAAATTTAAAAGTAAAATCAGTAGTAACAGAGGTAGCACAAAACCCTCTGCTGTATTAGTAAGCCACCATCACAGGAAAAATACTTCTATTTAAAGTAGGGAAACAAAGTAATAAAGTCAAAGAAGTAATTCTTCCATTATAAATGATATAGTTTTCTCTAAGGAAAAATAGGGATAAAATGCAGACTGCTCCAACGAGTCCTTCCAACAGGACCGCGAACGAAGGGAGCACTGCCAAGATCAGGAACAGTAAAGAAATTGGATATCGTAGCTACATTCGGGAAGAAGGAAAGAAGGCCAGGAAGGGCTCTTTAAATCCAAAAAGACCGAAAAGTCATCATGGAAATAAAGGTAAACTCTCTATAAAGAAGAACAATCCTTCTCCTGGGAATTCTCAGTTAGGCAAGCATCCTAGGATTGGTGAGAAGAGGGTGAGTTCAAATTTCCCAAACAGCTTCTACGTCACTCCCACTTCAAAATATGGAGGGAAGCTAAACCAGACATTTGTATTAGCAAAGGGATTTGATGAAACTTTTATTGAAAAACCGAGTAATCGGAGGAACACATCAGGCCTCGCTCCCTCTAAGACTCAGCAGGAGAGGTACAAAATCTATCATTCAGGTCGAGGGAGCAATACTGGCCCGATTAAGATCAATGTGGTCCCTTCCAAAGTTGGAAATGGGAGCTGAAGAGCAGTTAAAGTTCAAATGCCTGACAAGGTAGTTGACCTAAACCGCACTCAGGAGATCCGTACCGGCTCTCGCACAGGTCGTAAGATAAAAGTGGTTAATGGCAATATCAAGAAGGAAGCCAGGAAGAAGCCCAAAACGGTTAATTATAAAAATTTGATTCCTGAAGATAAGAACTCTAGTAAAGAAAAACAAGCACCAATTTTGAAAGAGCCAGAACCCAAAAAGGTAGAGATAGAGAAGAAAGAAGACAGCATTCAAAGGAACGAAGAACGCAAGATTAAGAAAGTCAGGATCAAGGACGTCACACGTGATCAGCCAAAAGAGGAAAAACGGGATCCAAAGTTGGAAAAATAAGCTCGCTGGCGTCCAGAGTTTCCATGACCCACCTCTTCCAGCGTTAGATGAGGAGCAGTATAGTAATGATATCTCAGTAGACAATATCATGATCGGGGAAGTTATTGGCCAAGGAGCTTACGCTGTTGTTAAAAAGGGTCTCTATATCCCAGAAAGTCTCACAATTGCTATCAAGATTTACGACAAATCTAAGCTGGAAGAGCCTCAGCGAAGAAAGAGTGTTAAAAGAGAAATCAAACTTATGGAAATGATGGATAATGAGTACATCGTGAAACTCTATGGCGTTATCGAGACACGTCATGAACTCTATATCTTGATGGAATACGTCAGCGGACTTTCCCTACATGGCTATTTGAAGTTGTTCAAACATAGACGACTACCAGAAGAGGAAGCCAGAAGAATCTTCCAACAATTAATGATGGGGCTTCAGTATCTGCACAAGAAGTGAATTACACATAGAGATATTAAGTTAGAAAATATATTGCTGGATGAAAATAGGAATGTAAAGATTATCGACTTTGGGTTCAGTACTAAAATTCCTAATGAACAGAAGGTCAAGATGTTCTGTGGAACACCTTCTTACATGGCTCCAGAAATTGTTACAAAGCAAGAGTATTCTGGACCTCCGGCAGATATTTGGGCATCTTGAGTCTTGCTCTTTGCTCTTATTTGTGGATATTTTCCATACAAAGGAGCTACAGATGCAGCCCTATATGAAAGAATTTGTAGTTGAGAGAGCTATCCACCTGATTTCTTGTCAGAAGAAGCAAAGGATTTCCTAGAAAGTGTTTTTCAATATGATCCTGACAACCGTCCAAGTGCTGAGGAAATTTTCTATCTCCCATGGATGAGGCTGCCTATTAGTGAAAAGTACTCTACAGGGCATAGCACGTGAATTGGGGTCTCAAAGAGCGGGATCTCAAGCCAATCTTCTGAGGACATGTACACCAGAAATTACAAGCCAAATCTCTTTGCTACTAGAACAATGAAGAAGAAAAATCCAGGAATAGATGCTAAGGAGAAGATAAAGAGCAAACTCTTCGTGTTAGATGAGAAAAAGAGTAAGGATGCAGCTCCAAAAATCAAGATCCCTAAAAGTTTGATAGCTCCAGTCCACAAGAACCCTGGCGGTATCAAGGACATTAAGACTGGCATCAGCAAGGGAGGCAAGAAAGGCAAGAATGACGAGAAGCATTACCATCTTCATTTATACCACCATTTCACTAAAGATAAGAACAGTAAAGCAAATGACACTGAGCCGAGCAAGACTGGGTCAAAAGTTTCAGGAACTTCAAAACCTCGAGCACATACAGAGTCCAGGGATGGTGACACCCAGACCACTGCTGAGGTCGGTGCCGTCACAGGCGTAAGTGAGGTGCAGAGGAAAAACCAGAAGAACCAATTCTTGAAGGACATTGACGAAAACGGTCATCGAAGGAAAATTAGAAGTAAGGGAAGGTATGTCAAGTGACATAATTCAAAGGAAGATTTCTCCTCTGTTGAGGACGGCTATGACGAAGAAGTCCTTGAAACCATCGTTAGCCTAGGGTATCCCATAGAAGAAGTCATCAGACTAATCGAAGAAGAGGATGAAGAAATGATAGATCTATATTACACTTTATTGAAAGACAGCCAAAACCACTTGAAAGCTATCTATCCTAGTTATATGAGAAGCAAAGCGGTAGACTGGAAGAAGTATGGGTTCCTTCTTGCAAGTCCTGAGAACAGTCGCTCAAGAACACGCAAGGATAAGAGCAGGAACAATCGGGTTTTAAGCTACTCCCCCAAGCGAAATAAGGGCTACTCTTATGGCAGTAAGGGCTCCATGACAGGATCAGGCGAGAGCAAGGCCATTCGGATAGCATTTTACCCAAAAGAAAACCCTTCGAATAGAGAAGACGCAGATAGTTTAGTTAGGAACAGAAAACTTCTTGGAGGGAGGAATTTTTCTCCGAACTAATTATTTTTACTAAAGTATTATTTAAATCAGTTTTAAAAAGCTGCTGAGGGGTTTTGGGGTTTTGGGGTTTTGGGGTTTTGGGGTTTTGGGGTTTTGGGG